ACATTATTTATTTATTTGGATTTGGTCTTATTACCTTGTGTTTATAATATATAATCCAAATTGTGCCTCATCAATTATATATATATATTTGTTTTTGGACGAGTGGGTAACTCCCTAGATTCCCGACAGTCATGAACCGGGATTGAATCCCGCGTTAAAATTTTGTTTAATATGTGAATAACCTTCACGTATTATTCATTGTTTCAATTATCATAAACTAGGTTGTTCTTGCTGAGCGGTACCTATTAATGTGATTTTGAACCAGAATATTTGTATTTGAAGAAAACATTGATTCAATGGCCCCTGATTCCTGCATAAATCCAACCTCACCAGTAAGTGAAAAATAAGTGTGTGTAAAAGTCGAACAATAGAAGCGGTTCTATTACAGTAAAAGCAGTCGCTAACTACCTACCGTTTATTATCAAATCAGACGTGATATTCCTACAAGGGATGCTTGCGTCAAGAAACAACACTTAAATTCACAGATACTATATTACATAAACAATTGAATAATTACAATGGTTTGAGTAGAGTTTAAAGTTTAAAGTTAAAATAAAGGAAATGCTTGAATTTACAACCAACAAATGAAATAAACATAAATAAACCTGATAAGGTACAATTTAGATTATTCTATATACAGTTACGAGCGTCATGCGTGGCCTCTGTCACGGTTTGCTTTTTTTTTTTGGAATGGCGCCCTCCTATTGGTCGGCTACGATCACGCCACCTTTGCCCCCCCCCCCCCCCCCCCCATTTCTGTACCTATTGTGTTGGAGCGGGTCGCTCCTTAAATAAATGCATATATTAGTTAATAACCAAATGGAATCCTCTCTTTCTTTTTCCCAGTAAGAGACGCCTACGGAAGCCAACAGTACATAGAAAGATAAAGCACATAGGCTATAGTTATTAACTAAAATATGCATTTATTTAAGGCGCCAATTTATAATTGTAACAAATAGTATTTGAATCAAAACATTCAATCGGGTAAAACACGGGCGTTGCCCGGGTCATTCGGCTAGTAGATTATAAATACAAGGTAATATGACCAAATCCAATTTATTTCCAATTATTTATTTGGATTTGGTCTTTTTACCTTGGGTTTACAAATAAACCATGATTATCATGGCCTTTAATTATTTCAGAATTGGCCAAATCAACGATAAGTTGATATTTATTCCGACAGATGGCGCAAGCCATCAGCAACTTTTAGTTAAACGATCAGAAGATGTCTTTTTCTTAATTTATCCACCGGATCCCAGTACAATTTTACGTTTGTGCTATATTTCTTTTTCACGAATATAACAAGAGTAAAAGTTTTATCGGACAAAGAATGAGTCAGTAATTTATAAAATCTTAAATTGTAGTGTTGGAAGAAATAATGATTTGTATTATTTTAAACTTATTGTAGCTGGGAACAGTAAGAAAAAAAAAGGACAAAGATATTTTGGATGTCATTTTCACATAAATCACAACTATAATTATCATAAAGATAGAGGCTGCCTGGCCGGCATTCATATTTCTTCAAATAAAAGTCACTTCGGCCAGTAAATCTTTTTATTGTCTCTAACTTTCTTTAGTAAACAAAAGATTTACTGGCCGAAGTGTCTTTTATTTGAAGAAAAAAACTATAATTTGTTGGGAATCTCTTATGGTTCAGACAATGAAACAACAAATAACAAGTTTATTTACAGCTGAAGTGGTTTTAAAGAATTAGGCAATTTCACCTTTTAAGAGAAAGAGTATTTTAAATTTATTATTTTCAAAAAGAGAGAGAAAAGAACATTTAACAATTTACATTACAATTACTAATTTTGTAAACAAAACACTCCTTTGTTCTCGTTTTTATATTACAGTGTTGTCAGTCTAAAAGTATTTCAAGATCATTGATTTACTATTCCTCTTTTTTTCCAACAGGGAACAGTAAAAAAAAAAGACAAAGATATTTTGGATGTTATTTTCACATAAATCACAACTATAATTATCTTTCTATATTTCTGAAAGACATTCAATATATGCAAAATAGTTTTTTTTATTTCTATACCGTGTAGAACGACATCTATCCCGCATGTGTTTCTTTTGAACGAAAAATCGAAATTTATTTAAAGGAAAAAATAACGATTATTTCTAACCTTAGAGATGAAGTATGAAAGGATGAATTGTGAAGAGTAATGATAAACTGAAAATAAAAGTGTCCAGGGATATACCGTGTGTAAACATGTTTTTGATTGGAAATGAAAGATTAGAAAACGAGTAGTCTTCATACAGATATGAACGAATTTAGAATGCTCTCTGTTAGTTGGGGGGGAAAATTGAGTCGTATATGTAAATTATTTTTGTGAAGTTGTCAAGAAAAAAATTTTGAAGAAATTTTGCATATCGAATTTGAGACAAATGGTAAGTCCTTTAACGCAAGAACTTTCTATTATCACACCAAATTTTATTATTTTTAGCTTAAAAATAAATATTTATTTCATAGGTGACTTTAAATATGTTCCCCAATAATATGTTTTAAATTAATCAAATTAAATATATTACGCTTTTCATATCAATAATTAAATTTCTCAGGAATGGGGTTATATTTTTATTTTATAGTAAATCCCTCGAAATGATAAAATAGAAAAAGAAAAACATCCTCAAAACTCTAGACACAGTTTGGAAAACATTCCTCCATAATAAAGAACAAGAGCTATTCCAATACCAGATATTTCAGGCCAAAAGATACTGACTCTGTAGATATGCAAATCCAATGCAAATTTGAGTAAATTGTGTAAATAAGCCATCACTGTAAATATAATGACCTTAGTTTAGCTCTTACTTTTGAAGTGAAACTGGTTTGAACACTTGCAGTAAATGTCTATATGAACAATAAAAAAAGATTTAAAAAAAAAAGAAAACACCATAAAGAAGAATATCTCAATATTAAAAAAAAAAAAAAAACTTTCAAAATAAGTTGAACATTGGTTAGGGATACCAAAAACAAAACGCTTTTTAGCTAAAAAAAAATGGGAATTTGCTCTCGTGAACCTATAAATTGACCTAAAACTAAAAGGAAAAAAATATTGTGATTTTGACCCAGGTGACCTACTTTAAAACGCATTCCTAGGAAGCTGATAGAAGATGGAGAAAGTAAAGTGACCAATGACCTAATTTCTCCCCCTGGTCAAAAGCACTATTTTTGGCGCCATCTTCTGGTTGGTGGATCCCCCCCCCCCCCCCCCTGCTTTGTTCCCTTGGGTATAAAACCTCGCGCCACTCGGCCACTGTCGTTTGGTGTGGATTAGCAACATGGTAAGCACCTTTTGACTTCACCTGCTCTATTCTATCTAAGTTTTACTAATACATTTTTAAGAATATTTTTTTTCTATAATTATAAACATATTAAATATAATTCTTTTAACATATTAAAAGTTTTCTCTTTAAAATATATTTTTAAAATATTTAGGTAAAAAAATGTTTAGTTAGTTATTTTTTTAAAAAATAATTATATATAAATATATTCGTTAATTTAAAATTATTTTCTCAATGTTCGAATATATATATTTATAATGTAGACCTTATTTTAAGTTTTTTCTTTTTGATAGAACGCAATTTTTTAACAGAAAAAAATTTCGATTATTTTTAATAACAATAGTTTCACTGAAATACACCGTGTTCCTATACCGTATATATTTTTAAAACAATTCATTTTTAATTTTTTAATCGAAAAATGTGGGGTAACAGTTTTCAGCTTTATACTTTCATTTTCTTTCATTTATATCGCTTCTATAAATATTCTCCAGAAATTTCACAAAGTATAAATTTTGACCAAAATACTTATTCCAATCAAGTCTCTTTCCGTTTATTCCAAACTGTTCTTTTATTTAATTCTAAATTATTTAGTATAAATCAAATTTCTCAATCATTTTCAGCATTATCTTTTTTCCCCCTTTCTCTCTTTTTTAACCAAATACTAACAGCAACAACAAAATAGTGACAAATTTAGTCATAATATTTTATAGTATTTATTGAGAGAGGCACACATATTTAGTAAAAATGACTGAAAAAATCACTTAAAGAGAAAAAAAAAGAAGTCTGATTTCAAAGAATAATTGAGTTTTCAACTTTTAAAATTTAAAAATCATCGCATTCTGTTAAAATTAATTACTCCATCTTACTTATTTCAAAATAGTACATTTTATCAACAACCTTTTCGTTAATGTTATAAATTGTCAAAAAAAAATGGTTTTAAAAACCTTTATAAATAGTTCTTTATATTTCAATACTTGCGAACAGGCGCAAAAGCAACTTTTTTCTTTTAAATCAAATTCAGCACGCTTTCATGTTTATCCAAGAAAAATTATTAGAATTATAATCTTCTGTATCCAAGAATAATAAAAAAAAAATAGTTTATTACAATTAGTTTTAATATTTTTGTCTAGAACGCGCGTTAACAGGTAGATTTGAAAGGATGGAAAAAGAAAAGAAACGATGATATACCTATCAAAATCAACATTTCAATCCAGGAAAAAAAGTCTATGGGACAGAATTTTAAATATATTTTATTTATTTATTCATTAATATACCATCATAGAATATTATCGAAGACTGTTCCCATAACAGGTTTCTTGGTGATCTGGCAGATTCCTTCCATTCGCAATCCCTAAAGTTCTATTTTAGTCTTAAGTTGATATTGTGAATTATTTACACTTTTGATATGTATATTTTTGTTTAATTTTTTTAATCATATTTTGACTCGTTTATATTTCCAGATTCTATTATGTATATATATATATTTCTAGATTTTATTATCCATATATTTCCAGAATTTCTTATGTATATATTTTCTTTTTTTTTCTTCATTGGCATTTTTGCATCCTAATTGTAAATAATAAATACGCGGTTGAAAGATGTTACATTGGAATCACGGTTAGGTTGATCCAATAATTGTACATACGCGGCTTGGGCACACTACTATGTCCACCACAAGATCTTCAAGTCCAGCAGCCGAGAGTCCAAGCCAGCGTCGCTGCGGATGATCAACAGGCCCTTAGATTTGTTCTCCTTAGCGTGAAACTAAGAACTTGTTGATCATGCGTAGGGGCGCAGGGCTACGTCTCCTAGCTTCGCGTCACCCAGCAGCTTCAAACGGAACTATTTTAATTTTAAAAATGTTTTTAACACTAATACATATTTAGATGATAAAAAAGCATATATTGGATTGAATAAAAAGATTGCCAATATTTCGGCTGTCTTTTTATTCAATCCCCCCAATCCAATATTTTATTATCTAAAGATTGAAATGGGAATTGCTCAATTTTCAAAACTAATAAATATTTTTAATTTTAAAAATAATATTTATTATTTGTTTTATGTACTGTTAATATAGATTTTATATAATAGAGCACACACACAATCAATATATTTAGATTTTAAAATATATTAGATCATAGAATTATTTGCCAATATTTCAATCGAATGTGAACGTTGACCTCATTAAGCTATAGCCAAATATTATTCTATATATGTGTGTGTGACGCTAAAAACAAATATATTTTAATATTTTGATAAAGGTTCAGCCAAATTTTAAATATTGGTATATAATATCATTTTATGATCTAATATATGCCCCATATATTTTTTCTATATTATAATTTATATATTTAATAGGCTAATCCCCTAATAGAATGTTCAAATCAATAAGCTTGAGGAATAAGTATCTTAAAAAAAAAAAAAAATTGAAAGATACTAATCCCTAAAGCTTATTGATTTGAACATAATTTATATATAAAAATAATTTTAGAAAATACATTGGCGAATTTTTGAATTGTAAAAAAAAAATGTTAGTAATCTATTCACGCATTTAACATTTTATAATTATACCTAGTTTGTAGTGTTAAAATATTTTTAGCGAGATATTTTCAAAATTTCAATTGAAATTTATTAAATTAAAATATATATAGAGAGTTAATACATATTATATCATAAATAAGGAGCAATACTTTTGGGAATTAAATATAAATTATCGTGTTTTATTAATGAAAAGTATATATGGAAATGTAGAAATAAAAAGTTTCAAAAGATTGAAATTTCAATTGAAAATTTTTAAAAATATCAATAAGATAAATTAAAAAAAATCTTCAATTATGAATTCTATATAAAATATATTGTAAGCTTAAAATTAAAATTTTAAAAATAAATGTAATATATATCTCCGAGAAACGTAGGTGTAATATGGAAGCCTTATATGGTGAATATTTTGAATAATAATTATATTTAATTTTATAAAAAATACCTATATATAGTAACACGTATTATAGTGTAAAATAACAATAAAAACAAATAAAAAATATATATTTATGTGTGAGAAAGCACTAAATTATTTAAAATTTACATACATAACACACGCCACTCATAAAAATAAAAGCAGACAAATAAAATAATTATAATAATGTTTTCTCAAATTTATTTTAATATAATTGTTTTTGAAATTATGATGATGAGATTACAGACACAAAATAAATCAAAACACACAGTATATCAAAATAAATTCCAAAGTATAGAATACTAAACGAATTATTTGATATATTTTACTTTATTTCCCCAATGTTTTTATTATTAATTATTGAATAAATTTGCCATATTATTTCAACATATAGATTGCAAAAAAATATGTATTAGAATACTCAAGTGAAAATAGAAAATTATTCAACCAGACGAAACTGGTTGAATATCATGAAACTTAGCAAGAATTTGCTGGCTCTTACATAGACCAAATGATTTGAAAATGAAATTAAAAATTTAGCTACTTTTTAGACGTTTTACATTAAAAATATATATATTTTTTTTTTACAAGTCAAAAGTAGTAAATTTGAATAAAATTTCATGTTTTTTTCTTTCAACTCCTTCTGGTAGTAAAACCTTTTTTTTTACTAGTGAACTTGCAAAAGTGTTTTTTATAACAATGTCTTTCCACCAGTGCTCCTGCATACCGTTACTCGGCTGCGTTTAAAATATATATAAATAGTGTAATGTTAACTTGCCGTTGTAATTTAGTTAGTGTCAAACACAATCATTAAGAATCCAAATAAATCATTATATTACAATCTAGAAACAAAAAATGTTGGGAATATTTTATGGTTTAGACGTAGAAACAACAAATAACAAGTTTACTTACAGCTGAAATGGTTTTAAAGAATTAGGCGATTTTACCTTTTAAGAAAGTATTTTAAATTTATTATTTTCAAAGAGAGAGAGAGAGAGAGAGAGAGAGAGAGAGGAAAAAACATTTAACAATTACACTTACTAATTATGTAAACAAATGAATCACTATTATTTTATTTTATTATTCTGTACATAACCCGGACTCCTGGAGCGTACGAAAGTCGCCAACTGTCCGGGAATAAATCACTCGTTTGTTCTCCTTTTTATATTACAGTGTTGTCAGTCTAAAAGTATTTTAAGATCATTGATTTATTATTTTAAAACATTTTCCTTCTATTTTTTTCCAACAAAAAAAAAATTACATAAACATTTTGGTTTTAAAATCGATCTAATTTTTTTTCTTTTTTTTTTTGTTAAATTTTACAAGCGCCCAACCCAACACACAAAAGGCCAGAAAAGGTTGAGATATGCTGCTCTATAGCTTTTTCAAAGTATTTTATATTTTATTAATTTTTTGTTTTCTTTATCCATCATAATTTTATTCAAATATTTTGTTCTTAAATATATTTTAATTTCTATTAAACACGTGAAAATAGATAGTTTACAATGAAAAATAAACTTTTATTTCACACACAAAACACAATTCTTAAAATATTTATTTTCAAAATATTGTAAAAGCCACGCACACAATAGTTTCTATTTTTCAAACACACACAAAAAAAACTAAAGAGAATGGTTAAAACTCAACATGCGACAATGTTCCTTTTTAAACGGCAGCTCACACAAAAGAATAAGTTAATGAATGTTCAGGGGCATGTATTTTCACCTTTGCCCTAACTCTATTGTGTCTCAGGATCATCTGCATTTATAGAAAAGGGGTAAAAGGTTCTGTTTACCACATATACATATTCTCTTTATATACCATCTTCTATTTTTATGATTAAAAGAAAAAAAGGTACTAATCCAAGCGTATTTATCGTTAAGAAAAACGAAAAAAAAAAAGCCTTTTCTTAATATTTTATTGAGATGGGGGTTAATGTATATATTGTAAAGTAATATTAATTAAGCAAATAACACTTATCGATAAGATAAGTTGAAATATTTTATTTATTAGTCTTCAGATAAAATATCAAAAGATAATAATATTTAATAGCAATATATTAAAAGCAAAGAGGCGACACGAAAAATCTGAGTCATCATTCAGATTATAAAAATAAATAATTCACAGTGATATAAATAAATGTTATACAATGTTAAAGAAATCATTTATTTAATAAATTGAAAATGGTTTTAGAATATTATTCTGTGATCGTTGTATTATAATATAATATTTACAAAATTTAAAATATATACTATTCAATATAATAAAGATTATTCGATTTTTAAAATAAACGCAGACGTTTTATTTTACATCAGGTTTTAATCTTTTGTAACAATAAAAAAAGACAATTTATTTTTATATGAAGTTAATGGGCATGTTTTAGAACTTTGAGATGTGATGATTGTAAAAATTATGAAGCAAGCAATCATGATGACTTTGCAGTTTTCTTTATGAAAATATTATTTTGGTGAAATACACTTTATGGTCATTATTTATAGATTTTGATGACATACAGAAAAATTAAGAGCAGATTCGGAACCAGCGCCATCCAAAAAAAAAAAAAACATTTTAAATGCTCAAACATTAAAAACTTTTTAAAAATTTTGTAGACCTGTGTACTTTTTAAAAAGGTGTATGAAATGTTACTTCTATGTGTTTATTGGATATATTAGCCATTGATTTCTTACGTTGAGTGAACTTGGAATACAATATGGGTTTGTTTTATACTCGAGGCTGTGAGTACACACGGCATCTTGACGTTATTTTTAATCATTATTTTTATCTTTTTAATTTGCACACACACACACACATATGGACTAAACTTAAGGAATGCCGATCATCTATATATTTTTTAATGAGATAGGGGCTGTTCACACTAGGTTATCTCGTGTATAAAAAGTCGGTGGACGAGTTGGTAACACCCTCGATTCCCGACAGTCATGAACCGGGATTGAATCCCGCGTTAACATTTTGTTTTAATATATGAATAACCATCACATATTATTCACTGTTTCAATTATCATAAACTAGGTTGCTCTTGTTGAGCGGTACCTAATAAAGTGATTTTGAACCGGTTATCTCGTGTGTATTCAATAAAAGTCATTGTAATATCTTACAAAGTTATTATATGAATCCCGATATACATGGTAAGAGATACAACTTTTTTTTAAATTTTGGTTCATTAGTGTTTATTATTAAAATAAAAACCGGCATATCTTGGATACAAAAATAAGTTGCGTTTTTATTGAATGATATTTCGGCAATCTTAACGTTAGTCATTTTCAAAAGCTTTTATAGATTTTTTTTTAGAGGACCTACCGCCTTAAAGTAGGCTTCACTACAACTACCCACCTTTAGTATATCAACACAAAAGATATTATAAACAATACTTAAAGTTGCACCGCATAAGTTTCTTTTCTATGAAAAATCAATATTTTATTATATATAATTGATTATTGAATACAATATTGATTTTTCATAGAAAAGAAACTTATGCGGTGCAACTTTAAGTATTGTTTATAATCATACGCCGCAGTCCTTTATAATGTACAAAAGATATTGTAAACCTATTTATAGAATAAATTTGATATAAATAGATGCGCTTGGGCTTCTATTTTTGCAATAAACACCACTCTTTCTACCTTTTATTTTGGCTTATTATTCTATTTTTATCATAAAAAAATTTAATCAGCATTTATTATTTTTCTTACTCATTTTTTTAAGTACGCCTCTATATTTATCATATTTTATTTTTAAAATACTTATAGACAAACCTTAAGGAAGTTGTACCTTTCAGCATGTATATCAGGATTCAGACAATAACTCTGAAAGATATTACAGTGA